TTGTTTGTGAGTGGAATTAAAGTTGAGCAGCACCACCATCCAAAATAATTTGCTAATTTTACTTTGGGAGAGTTTAGAGCTTAAAAAGTCAATGCTGCCAGTGAGGAATGGGAGCAGCTTTGATGTTCCATCAATGTGCAACCTACCATTTTAGACGGACACCAGCTGCAGAATCAGTACTACATTCAAAAGGAGGGAGGCACATCTTTTTAAAAAGAAAAATCTGCCTTGAAATTTTGCAATTTAGTTGAGCTCAGCACTGCAGTGGTAATATGCAAAGCACACAATAATGTCCTAAAGTGTATTCTCAAGTTTTTCAAAATTAGAGAGACAACATACTCAGAGGAAGTCAAAGGAAAAGTTATGTTCCAAAAAGCAAGGATTAGGACAAAAAAGGAGATGTAAATGTGCCTGTGTCATCCAGGTCATCGTAGTCTAAGGAGCTTGGAAACGTTTCACCTCTCATCTGAGAATCTTCTTCAGTTCTAAGACTATAATGGTGGAGAGTCCCAGATTTAAGATGTAAATGTGTTAGAGGATAAACTTGTAGAGTAATTGTGAGCAATTCACTGTAAATTTACAAAATATTATCAGAAATCTCAGAGTTTCATTTCAAATTCATATGACTTTCTATTTCAGTGGAGCTGTCCAATGAAAAGGTTTCACAAACCTGCATAGTGAGGAAGAAATAAATTCTGTCTATTTTTCTTGCTTGAAGTTTTTTCATTCAAAACACACCACGAGTGGGAGGGGGGTCATTTCAGTGACTTAATTTGGTTTGTAAAGGCGTGTGTTATAAGTGCTGCCAGAAATTAGCTTCCACTGTGTCGGAAAATTCCCTTCAACCGTATGTCAGGTGGTGTGACTCCCCCCTCCCAAAGCCTTATTGGAGCAGCAGGTGGAGCTCCCTGACCATCTCTCCTCCATATTATCAATACCATTGTCTTTGTGGACTCATAACCAGCTGGGATGCATCTCTGTGGAAAAACTCCCCTTTATGTGGCAACTTTATAGCTAAAAGGAGCACAGCAATCACATCCTGCAGAAACTAGGTAAGTCTAATTTAGTTCACTTTAATAGTAAAGACTGCTATATTCATACAGAGTTTTGAAGCTTCTAAAAGGTAAAAAGGATGAAAGAATAAAGCTATATGTATGGTTCTGTATGTCATCAAGATTACAGTGGATCCCTAACTTCTCTCAAGTAACACAGGGCCGCAGACAAGCAATTTCCAAGTGACAGAGCTTTGAAGAAAACATAACTTTCTTCAGAAACCATTAATGCTTTGTTTTAGTTACACCCAGATGAAACCCACCTAACACAGTAGGCCAGCTTTCATGTAGAGTTATTTTGAGTTTACAACAAAGTAGACTACAAAATGTAAATCTATTTTTAGCAGCTTAAACTCAACAGTTGTCATCATGTACAATATGTTATCCTAACAGTTACACCTAAAACTTTCCAAGTAGGTCTTAAAAAGCTGCACAATGCGACGCCCTGAACATTATTTGTCTTACTGTAC